ATTCATTTTCATTTCGATTTTGATGAGAGAACTCGTTTCGTTCCCCGTTTCGGTGAGCAAGAGAATTCAAACCACGTTTCAGGTATTTATCGAAATAGAGAAGAGTCACTCGTGTCGTTTGCTCAAGACAGTTTGAGAGTCAGCTGATTTGGTTTGCAAAAGAATTCAAGATTTAGAGGAACGTTGGTGGTATTTTAGCCAAACGAGCTTTTCAACAGCACGTGTTTATTTTTCCCGCCCCCCATAGCTGCTGGCTGTGACATTCAGACGTCTTTGATTGACAGCAGGTGCGCACAGGAACAAAATGTCACGAATTCCTGACATTCTGTGTCACGTCTTCACGACATCAACTTTGAATGGGGAAACACCTGAAGGAATTTTTCTCAGGGTGCAAACAAGAGGAAAGAGAGAACATTTTGAAGAAGTGGCCCCTGCAGTGGGCTTGATACAGTAAATGTCACCACCAGAAACGCACGCATGGACAATCAGCACTGGGGCACTCCCCGATGTACAAAGACCATCGCTTCATGACCGATGAACCGATGAAATCAATGTCAATCATCACCAAAATAAGGTACAGGCTCAGCAGTTATGTACCTCAGGTGGTTCGACCAGGTTCGGTCATTATTGGCTAAAAAGTGCAGGAAAATGACTGCTTTTTTTCGAGGGGGGGGGGGGTGATTGGTGCATTTAACATGACCATGACTCTGACCTTTGACCTTGACATTTTGATACACGAAAAGCCCCGACACCAAAGAATCTCCTACCAGCAAATGGTTTGGCAAACTGACGTTGAATTTGTGTGAGAGACTGCTTAGCGAGTCTCTCCAAAGCCGTAAACAAAATGACGAGCTAATGACAAGCACATTTGCTGTGTCATGATGGCAGCTTGGTGGAGGGGGGACGGCGGGGACACATGATCCCTCCGAAAGCCCCCCCACCGGCTGCTTTCCGCATCAGGCTCGACGCGTCGTCTATTTGAAGCCGACCCGACGTGACTGCTTGTTTTCTGCTGTGTGAGACGAGCGAGTCCTCAGCTTCTTTGTGGCCCGCCGCCTGCCTGAATAATTCAGTAAGATTCCAATGAGGGAGGGGACGCGGCTGCTTTACCTCCATTAGATACGAGCCGTGTTAGATTAGCTGCTGCGGGAGAGAGAGAGAGAGAGAGAGAGAGAGAGAGAGAGAGAGAGAGAGAGAGCGGTCACGCGACTTGAGGGAGATTCCCTGACGTGACTTCCTGGAAAAATCACCCAGCTTCCTGATGGCCATTCCCAGAAAGCACGAGTTAAACCCAAGGTCCTATCCATTGTCAACATGTTACACAATATACGCCAGTGATGAGATACGCTGAGAGGCCACTTTATTAGGTTTAGCATCTACTGCACATTTGGGCCAAGTACGCCCCATCATCCATCCTTCCATTATCTGAACCGCTTATCGTCACGAGGGTCGCGGGCGTGCTGGAGCCTATCCCAGCTGTCTTCGGGCAACCTGACCTGGTCGCCAGCCAATCACAGTCCACGCATAGACAAAGAACCACTCACAATCACACCTACGGCAAATTTAGAGTGATCAACTAACCTACCATGCATGTTTTTGGAATATATGAGGGAACTGGAGTACCCGGAGAAAACCCACGCAGGCACAGGGAGAACATGTTTCATCCTCTGCACTCTGAGGCCAACAAGCTAATCAATTGAACCATCGTCCCGCCTCCCTGACTTACATTTTGACTAAAACGTGACTATCTCCTAGTATGGATGTCACTGCTATTTTTGCAAAGACAACTTCTGGTTTGAGCTTACAAAAGAGAGTTGTGTAAAGTGTAACAAAAATGCGAATTTGTTCTCGGAGTGGGTCAAAACAAACACGTCACAGTTTTCTGATGGTCTTCCGATGAAAAATGGCGCTTGGCACGGCGCGATGCAAAATAGTTTCCGTGCGCGCACGCCGCGTCGTGTTCCCACCGACAGTATACACGGCCCCCGATGAGAATCTGCTGTTTGCTTTCCTTTCGGCCGGCTAGCGCTACAGCTTTTTTATTTTTCCGGGCCCGTCTGTACAGCTCGGAGCTTGGACGCCTAGCACGGTTTTTAAGCACTTTTGCGGGCCAAATGAGGAGAAAAGTATAGGTTGTGTTTCTGGGGAAGTGTGTGTGAAGTAAATACCCCCCCGCCACCCCTTTCTGGTTTACTGTAACAGAGCAGTGTTGGTTTCAGAGCAGCCGCTCGTGTTTCGCAGCATCAATAATAAACCACCACAAGCGCGCTTGGTCAATAAGACTGCCATTGGGCATGATGGTAAAATATATCAGCTTAGCTGTGCCCATCATTTAGCAGTTTACCCCACTGTTTGAGGTTCTTTTTAATTTTTTTTTTTTTTTTTTTTATACACCCTTTCCCTCATACATAATTGCTTCGCCTATGTAATCCGACGCTTGTCCCGCTAGCACTAAAGTGTTGTTCGGGCCGCAGCTTGTAAGTACTCGCCTTGCCGGGTCAGCACAATGGGGCTAGATAAGGCTCATTAATAATTCAGCGTGTTGCTTTAAAATGCAGTTTGTGGTCAAAGACAATTTCGTTAAGATTGGCTCTGGTTTCTGACCTGCGGCTCAAATGTCAGCGGCTAGCTTTGGCCATTTGCTCTGCCTGATGCTCTGACTTTTAAGCAGACATGGGGGGACTGGATCTGAGTCTGACTTACAGCAATAATATGTTCTAGGCACTCGTGTCAATACAGTATTGTGATCAATGTTGCGCTTGTGGAATAAGAATAAAGCAGAATAATCCTCCCGTTTTCAGCCATCCGAGGAGGCTGCCATTTTATGAAGCGCCGACCACTGCTGTTGACTGAAATTGACATCAAAGTGCCTTCGGGCTCACATTGTAAACAAGCTACCGCTGGCTAGCTAGTGAGGCTAAGCACATTGCGGAATCGCTATTAAGTCGATAATCATTGCCTTCAGGTCCTCACGAAAGGACTACAAGGAAAAACGGAGAAGTCATGCTAACTGCTAAGCTAACCTAAAACTGACACGTAATTGTAAGACCAGAATTAAGTGCTTGGGTGTCCGAGTACACTTTTCAGAGAGGTCTGACTGGAAACACGTTACGACAGAGCATATCCGACTTTCAACAGCAAAATAGAAGGAAAATTCAGAAGTGTCTGGATTCTGCAGATAAAAATCACACTTGCTTAAAGCAGCCTAAACGTACAGTATGTTAAGACAGTATACAATATTTATAAAATCAGTACTGTTCTTTGTTTTCACAAGAGTCCTGACTTTTGATTTTAACAGAAGTGAGTGAGTTGACAAAACAGTTGATTATTTAAAAAAAGGAAAACCAATTGTCCATTTGTTATATTGTCTTGTTTTTATTGTTTAATAAAACCCTTGCCTCAGGGCCCCGGGATTAACCTATAAAAAAAAAAAATGCTCCTCAAAATGAGAAATTTGCTCCTCAAATTAAGTCAATGATTAGCAAAACTGCTCAGCAAAGAAAAAAATATATACATTTAGAGCCTTGGCTGATGTCATGTTGCCTTTCTTTTAAATGACAACCTAGTTGGAACTGAGTCGTCATTTACCGGATCACGATGCACATCCCTCGTCCTCCTTGCAATGCTTCCCTCCCAGAATCCTCCCCTCCCATTGGTGGAGCGCGTATCGCCCGATGATGCCGGTCACCTGATGATCTCACGCTTTAGGTGATGTAGTCTTACAGCAGGTGAGTCATCAGGCGCCGCTTACTGGAACCACATCGCCTCAATCATGCCCCAATCGGCCACTTTCTTTTTATCTGCTGATGCTGATGCTGCATCGTCTGCGCCGCATCACGCAGCCTCCTTTTCCTCCTTCCCATCCCCCCACCTACTCCTCCGCTCTCATTCCCATCAGATGCCTTTGAACTCTTACGAACAAATATGCAAAAAGCATTGCATAAATCCAATCACATTTTTATCACCGCAGCGAACCGTCACTATGCCTGGAATTTGGGATCAATATGAGAAATGAATAACAAATATAAATACATTATTTTCAGCTCCTTGTGTGGTATTGGATGGTACTTCTTGAGAGTTTTATATGGGTCTACTCATGATAGAAACTGGGTTTGGGGGCTTGAAGTTAGCTTATTAGAGTTTTATTCGGCCACACATAACGACAAAAACGCAAATGTTTTGCAATGTATCCGTCTTGTATCAGAGGTTGAAAATTGGTCGCAATTGGACAAAATCTGTCAGGATGGTTCATTTTTGAAGCATGGCTGTAAATAGCTAAATTTAAGCTAAAATTGCTGTTTTTGGTGGGCTATTTTTTTGTCAGTATCGTCATAATAAACATGCTTTCATGAATTTCATGTCGATATGTGAAACTGGATTTGAAGGCTGAATTTTCAAACTAATCTTATTAGAAGTTTGTGTTTTACGTCGAGTCATCGAGTCATGCCACGTTACGCCATGTCAGCATAATGACAAAAATTTGTGTGCTCGTGTTTGGTGTATGTGGTTCAAATTTTGTAGCAATCGGATGATTCTTGGCACACTTTAATCCAAAATGGCTGACTTCCTGTGTAGTGTTGGATATGTGCTATTGAAAGTTTGTTTGTCAACATACTCTTAAAAAACATGCCAGCCAAATTTCCTGTCGATATTAGAAGCTAGATTTGGGTGCTGAATTTTCATACTTATCTTACTTGAAGTTTGTGTTTATGGCAACTAATCGGACTTCACCACAAATGGAAATGGCCAAATCCACACTAAAATGGCTGCTTTGCTCCAAAATGGCAGATTTCCTGTTTGTTTTATGCTATTGTACCCTGAGAATTTTTTGTGGGTCCACTGCTGATATATATGCCGACCAAATTTCATTTGCAAAGTAAAACCGGCTTCTGTGGTTGTGTTTCCCCACAATTCTAGTGGGCGTTACAAAGCCCATTTTTGCTAGCCATGTCCACTGCCCCCACCAAACACTTTCACACAGATGAACAAAATTTAGTGAGTATGGGAAAGCCATAACCCCAATGAAAAATGCTTTCAATTGGCCCATGGGGTAATTATGAGTGAGCCCTGGGAAGTCTGCCCAGCAACAAGTGCCCATGACTTTTGATTATTATTATTTTGATAAAAAAAAAAGCACACACAAGTATTCCTTAAAGTGCTGACTTAGCCTCTTGCCATCTTTCCATGGCGGATCCAAACAAACACACCGTGCCCCGACACAGTCTTATTATTATTCTTATTCTTATTTGACGTTGTTATTGGAGATCATTATGTGAGATAATTATATCTATTAGCTGTGTGCTGTCTGTTCAGCAGTGCCAATGTCAATATTGGTTCACACGGCGCAGGAAAACGCTGTCGGCCAGGTGGGGCGAGGGTGAGAAAGAAGCACAACATAAGTGAGGTACACGCAGTTTGCAATAATATAAAAATATTTGTACGTACTTTATGGCATTATCATTTGCATTTTGACACATGGAAACAATATTTTCAAATATAAAAAAACCCAAAACAAATTGGTGTCAATTGAGTCAAGCCGAGTTCAAATGTGTCTCACATTTGAGTGGCTGTTTGAGTGAAAATGTCATTTTCCCACTAAAGAGCCTCTGTTTGTTTCCTGGTGGCGTTCTTTGACGTATGACTGACGCACACAGAGAGAGCTTTTGTGTGTTGCAGGTGTGGAACTACACGAGGCCAAGCGAAAGGGTGTTTTATTCCTTCGGGGCACCCCCTCTCCCTTAGACGCCCCCTCCTCCCCACCGCAAAAAAAAAATACAATTTGCAGGCCTGCTGCTGGAGAGAAAGGCCAGAAATTCTTACAACTTCCTCAGCTGTTTTTTTTTTTTTTTTGCATGTAACATGCACATGACTGGCAATATCAACCTTGTAAAAATTCAGCCCCCGAGGCCAGTTTCACAGAGCAACATGAAGTTTGGAAGGCACGTGGATCGCGATAGGAACGCCATGAGGCACAGCAAGATGGCCTTTGATTCAAAGACAAAATTTTCTGGTTATTGTTGAAAACAACCTCTCTGATCGCTATGGTAACGTTTAAACGTGCCTTCAAAATAAGATACATCCCAAATACAAAGTGCATGAAAAATAGGACTCACCATCGCTGCATCTTAGCAGAATAGGCTTTGTGTGTGTGAGAATCTCCCTTTGAGATAAAACTGATTAAGTAGGACTCCTGATACTGTCTATTGAATGTAGACTTTTTCTTGAAAGTCACAGGCTCCTCTTCTGTCTCCTGGCTGGGCCTTTTCCCCTTCCCAAAGAAACTTTTTAAAGAGGTTTGCTTTTCACTCATTTTGCTAGCTACTGGGCTTCATTTATGCGGTAACCTATCACGTGACCAAGAAGCGCGTTTTGACCTCCATCAAGAGTGACACACTGTAGACGGATGTAACCTAGAATCCGGTAATTCTTTCAAAATAAAACATCTTTCAGCTTCCGAAATGAATAAAATGGAAGTAGAGTCATACCTCGGGTTTTCGACCATAATCCATTCCAGAAGGCTGTTCGAAACCGATTTTTCGAAAACCGAAACCACGGTCTTTTAAAAAAAAAAATCTTTATTGAACACGTCTGCTCACAATTCTCATCTTCCTGAGGAAGCGTCACTTCCTCTTGTAAGGAAGGCGAGAGGAGTCAAGTGGCGCATTCAAGTGCACTCAGTTTGGTCAAGAACCGATTTTTGGTCGTAATCCGAGGCATAAAAAAACTCGAAATTTTTGGTCAAAAACCCATTTGGTCGAGAACAGAGAAATTCGAAAACCGAGGTTTGACTGTAATGTAAGTTATTGATTCTTTCTGTACAGCCCAGTACCAAATGACCTGGTCCGCTGCCGGGTTGGGGACCGCTGCTCTAAATGGATTTCTTTCCTCGTTAAAAAATTCAGGTTCCTAATCCAGTTTCACTTAGCAACATGAAATTTGGTAAGCATGTCTATCATGAGTAGACCCACAAAAAAAAAGCCTTATGAAGCCAATATCCAAGCAATGCAAGGGGGCCTGGAGATCCCTGGTTAAAACAACTTTCACTGGTTTTAACGTTGAGAGCTTCAGCATTGGAACATTCCCTTTGACAAACTTTTTCAAACAAACTTTAACGACTGGTGGTTCTCTCAAATAGACACACTCATCATTAATTCTCTTTTGATGGGTTTTTATTTTTTAATGTGGCTATAGCTCTGGTGGTAAGTTTATGTCTTTGCCTTTGGTGTCATAAATCGACTCGCCTGCGCTACCAAGCCCTCGTCTTTGGATGATGGCTGCGTTTTAATGGGCTTGTTTGTATTTGCAAAGAAGCTTTTGAATTCTGAACATGACGCAAAGCTTTTTGAGTGAGCCAGAAGGCCACTAGGCTCCTCTTCAGATAGAAAATAACATCTAAGTGTTATTTATAATGGGGCGCTGATTTACAATACGCTGTGTAACATAAGAGGCGGGCGGTACATTGCGTCCAGTCAACAGGTAGACGAGCTGGGCAGCACTCCCAGAATGGAGGCTCTTAGCGGCAGTAAAACGCCACAACCCTGACCTTTCCTCTTTTGGAAGGCTAGCACCTTAAAAATCTCCACCGGCCTACTCGATCAAGCTGCCCGCTTTTACTCGTCTGTCTTGTGCGCTGTTAGTATGCTTACAAAGTGCTACAAAGAAGTGCTTATAGTGTGGTCTTTAACCCTTTCATGCACCCTGTAACCTGATAACATGATAAGCTGTCCACTGTGGTAACTGCTGTCCCTGAAAGGGTTAAAGTAGTGTGACCTTTGATTCCTCTTAATTTGGTTTGATTTTTTTTAATATGTTTTTATTTGGTTTTGCTTCTTTGATTGCGAGGCTAAAAGAACATGACATAAGAAACAATATAACGTCAATTAAAATTTTACTTGCTTATTTTGAAAGTGAGGCTAATTTAATATGGAAGAAAATGAGACTTTCTTTATTTTGATTTAATTTGGTAAATTTGGGTTTGCCCAGTTTAGCTAAGAGGCAACAGACTATTTAAATTCATTTACATTTGAACGTGTTGATTTTTAACTGAATTTCGTTTTATTCGATTTTATGACACTGAGTTTGAGAGCTGGGAAAATATATTTTAGTGTAGTTTAAATTTTGGTTTTGATTGAAATGTAATCTTAATGTAATTTAATGTTATTTTCATTTTAATTTTTTTTATATCATATCAATTTCATTTTAACTGAATTTTAACTTTGGTTGTTTGAGTGCAAGGCTGTGGTAAACTATTATTTAAATTTATTCATTTTATTTGAATTCAGTAATTTTAACCCTAGTCAGGATAAGGTGTTTGGAAAATGTACATATTTTAATTTGAATTTTTAAATTGTAAAATTATTTTTTTAATATAATTTAAAATGAATTGATTTTTAATTTAATTTTGATTTCAATGTCATTGTCATTTTTTAAGAAGGTAATTTTAGTTAAATTTAAATTGAATTTTATTTGAATGTTTTTTTTTTTTACTTCAAGCAAATATTTGAAATAAAATCTATTTTGCTTCATACTTCTCATTTGAGTGCTGGTCAAAGACTGTTTCATTTTATTTATTGCAGTTCACTTCAGTAAAGTTTAGATGAATTTTAATATTGCTGATTTGGAGTGCAAAACTAAGCTGAACCCCCCCCCCCCAAAAAATCCTTTAATTTTATCTTGATTTCATGTTTTCTTAATTTTCATAATCAGACTTCTGACTTATGACAAAATGGTGAATAATTTGATTTCAACTTTGCAACATTTCATTTGCAAGTCTAGTATTTCCTTTTTAACGATGTAACACGGATTCCTTTGAAGTTTGACGGCTGAACCGCACTTGTTTTAAATACGAGCTGTCCCTCTTTTGGTGCGGTTAAGACTTAATTCCAGCGGGCTGTCCGTCACTGTGACTGTGTGGGCTTTAAAAGTGGGCCAAACGCTGACATGTTTTGCTTTGCAATGAAAACACACGTGCGTTAATACTGGTGAGCGAGTGCGCGCGCGGTCGTCGCGTACTGCACTTTCCACGTGTGATGTGATTAGAAAGCAATTTGCCCCCTTGACAATGTGACCCAAGAAAAACACACGCTTTATTAAAACGAAACAAATTACCACATTTAGGCCCCGTAGGACGCCCCAATACATCACATGGATGGATTACTGTTACCACATCCACTCCTTTATCGAGACCAACTGCGCCACAATGTGTCTTCGCTTGACCCGCAAACTGGGCTGAAAAGCTTAACTCAACACCATTGCGCTATTTTTATACAATGTGTGGTTTAATCTTTCTGCCGTGAAAAGAATTTGGATCGTGCACATTTCCGATACAGCCTAGCGGACGGTCTTTTGTATTTCTTCACCAAATCTTCGTGTAGTACTGTATGCTTCGATGTATTTTGCTGTCCCATGGTGGCCAAGGAAGGAGCAGCACGATGCACATTGAATAATCACGATACGCGAACTGTTTCATTCTTTGCATTCTTGTTAATTATGTCGTTACTTTGTGTTTTGGATCAAGTAAAATACTGCAGAGTGCAATTTTTGTGTGTATTTTTTGGACACTTCAAATGAATGCAGTTGTTGAAAAATTGAGGACGAACCACGAATATTTTCTGTAAGTTAACAATTAAAAAAAAATAATTTCATTAATTTCGAGTGCTATGCTAAGCTATGAGTCAATATTTATTTCACCGTTTATGTTGTTTTAGAATAATGACATATTTTCAATTTTACTTAACAAGCTGTAATTGGATTTATAATTTAACATTTTTTTTATCAAGCTAAATTTTGCTACTTTTTTTTTAACAGTTCTTTTCCCGGCAGTGTGAAGGACATGAACCCTTGTGAGGATAAGGTGTTTGGAAAATGTCAGGGTTTTAATTTAATAATAATTCAAAATCCATTTCATTTCATTTAAAATTCAAACTTTGGTGCAATCTGATGATTCTTGGCAGACTCCAAAATGGCTGACTTTTTGTGTTATGTTGAATATGGGTTATTGAACGTTTTTTGTCGACATACTCCAAAAAACAAAAAAACATGCTGTCCAAATTTCTTGTTGATATTAGAAGCTGGATTTGGGCGCTGAATTTTCAGACTTATCTTACTTGAACTTTGTGTTTTATAGCAACTTCACCACAAATGGAAATTGCCCAATCCACACTAAAATGGCTGCTTCAGTCGCATCTTCACATGGCTTTTAAGTATCACTACCACACAGACACCACTGAACGCAGCAGCTCTTGTTTTCATTGGGAAACGGACAGTGGGCGTTTGTTCGCTTTGTCGCAGATTAGTGTGGATTTAGTTTGTCTTTTGAGGAGCTGGCCGTCTTAAAAATCCCAAGCAGACACACGGATCACGTTCCAGCATCGGTGCCAGTGTGTGTGTGCCGATGTGAGACGGCGTGCGTGAGCGTGTATGCAATCGTGAGCGTTCGTATAAGTGTGAATGTGTTTCGTGCGCGCACGCGTGTGTGTGTGTGTGAGTGAGTTTGTCTGCGGAGACTTGAGGAGAGGGAAAGGCAAAGCGGTCGGTTGCAAGAGAAAAGACGAAGCAGATGCTCGCTCTCGACGAGGGCGACAGGACGGTGCCAAGAGACTGTTGCTGCTGGCACCGCGCATGGGAGAGAGTCATTGCAAATGGCGATGGAAGGGAGGGTGGCTGGTCTCCGTAGTGCAGTAGTTGTGCCCTTATAAAGAAAGCGGCGGGATATACTGTTCTCTGAGTGAAATGCCATATTAAATAAACACCGAGTAGTGGGTGGCGTGTACGTGCGTGCGTGTGTGTGTGTGTGTGTGTGTGTGTGTGTGTGCGTGTGTGTGTGTGCAATGTAAAAATAGAGTGTATATACTTAGTCTTTACGCTCCGACTCCAAGATTGGAGCTCAATCAGGGCACAGCTTGGAAGTGGAGCATTTTTCCGAAGGTGGTGGGGGTAAAGGACGATGTCATTTTCAGTATTACCTTCACGATGTTTTTTTTTTTTTCCTCGACACCAAAAGTGAAAAATGAAACTCAACAGTGTGATCCATGCAACGTTGAAATAGAATATTTAAAATGTATCTCGATGCGTTTGTATGAGACTGCTTCTTCAGTTTGCGTGTCCAAAAATGATCTTCCAAGCCAAGTCGCAGGGGTTTATGCTTTTGATGGGGTTACCCTGGGCCAGACCCGTCCAAACGGGTGGGCCAGAAAGGGCCGTCTGTGCCCGCTCACCAAGTTGCTTGTTCGCCTCCCTTTCGGCCCGCTCACCACCTGTGGCAGGTGCCGGGAGTGGGCCTTCTTCCAATATTGTGAATGTGAGTGTTATGTCACAACAACACGAGTGGTCTGCCTCCACCAGCGAGACAATACAGTATGTGTGCATGTGCGTGGAGTAGATGTAGGGCTGGGCCTGTGCCAGCAGAAGACAAGTAGTATGAAGTCATTACCAGTCAGACCGGGGAGTAATCCGCTGCAGCACTGTTGCTTCAGAAACTGGAAGAGTTTGTGTGTGTGTGTGTGTGTGTGTGTGTGGGCATGCACATTGCATGCGTGTGTGTATGTGGGTGGTTCATGGTTATTGTCATGTTTAAAAAATGAAGATAAAAAAAATCTTTAAATTAAATGCACTGCTTGAATGATATTGAATTAAAAATATCAAATAAAAAATATCGAATAAAAAAAAGATTACGTTGTCTTCAGATGCAATGAAATGATGCTGAATATTTGAAATATTTCTATAAAAATTAAAGAACCTAAAAAAAAAATCTTCAATGACATCATTAACTCAGCATTTTGAAAGAATCAAACTATTTTGAAAACTTAATTAAACCGAATCACATTCACTTGAAATATGGCAACACTTGTTTTAAAACAAAGTAGTGACACAAAAAAGGGAACGGAAAAAGAAAAAATCTTCAAATCACATCGTCAAACCAAGTGATTATGAATACGAAGTTTGAATGCAAGTCACTTGCTGAACACTTTCTCTGCTCTCCTGCTGCGGTTGCTGTGATGCTTTCCATGTTGCACTTGTTTATGGGGCGGGAGGACGGAGGGGGTGAGTCAGAGGTTCACAGAGAAGAAGCATTGAAGTAGAGGCCAATGTTTATGTTTGTGTCTGGTTTTCTCTCTCTCTCTCTCTCTCTCTCTCTCTCTCTCTCTCTCTCTCTTTTCACTGTACAAACAGCGAGCCAGCGCCATCTTTCTTCCCTTCCCATCCTTCCATCCTTCCATCCAGTTGACAAGTGTCAGTGTCGCTCCTCGGCCTCTATCCACCTGCCAGTGTTTGTCTTCCAGTCTGGCTCTGCGTGTCTGCGAGGGAAAAAGGGAGGGAGGAAAAGCCATCAGGTGGATGGACGGAGGATGGGCGGAGCTGGAAAGAAAAGAAAAGAACGCCTGTGGTACCGCCATCAGGAGTTTCCATCGGGGTGGAAGAAAAAAAAAAAAACCCAGACGTCTGTGCAAGCTTTATCAGGAAGGAGTGCGGCTAGTGAGACAGCAGGGAGATTTTTATATTGTTGTGACTGGACTTTCCTCGTTTGCTTTTACCATCTGGGATGTAAACAAACACCACAAGAACACAAGATGCACGTGTAGCTATACTTTGTTCGACATGTGCGAACAAAACAGGGGCGGAGTTAAACTTGGCACACATGCACAAAACTTTACCCAAACACGCATAATACAAACAGGTATAAATCAAAGTTAAAAAAAGCAACATTTTGCTGATCTTAATTTACTAGATAATGCGTTTTTC